ATATTTATGACACATGAATATTTTTTATTGAATAATTGATAATATTATTATATATATTAATAATAATAAGGTACAATACCTAATTATTATGATTTTTTGAAGTTAAAACTCAACTACTCATGATAGGAAGATGAAATTTGACAACTTTCCCGCTATGATATTCCTTGTACTAATTAGTGAAAGGATACGACCTATGAATTCATGCCATATTCAACTGGCCATAGTGGCCAAATACTTCACTACAACCCCCCACGGCTTATAGTTCCCTCTCCTTGGTGGCTCTTTGGTTGGGGTTTCAAACCCCCCACCAAAGCCATTGAGATCTGAGAATGTACTCTCCCACCGCCCAATTCCCAATGTTCAAACCGTCCCAAAAAGGAAAAAAGAGATGAATTCATGCCACACACATAATATATTACATATCCCAACACATAGGTTCTCGATGCAATTAAGCAGATCTAATGGACTACCCAAAATTTTTAGTTAGGAAATGTTATCCCATCAGATATATATTGCAAATGCAGATGCATGATGATAATAAGCATCAGATTTTTTCATACAAACAGTTCTAACGGAATTTGAATTAAATGCTTTAATTTTCTTTAGAAAAGAGGTCTCAGAAATAGCATGCTGGCAATTGAAAACATCAATTCTATTGCTGAGAAAAGGAATAGGAATTCATAATTGAAAAAAATCTCTTCTGCTAATGTGTGTCTGTGTGTGTGTGTGTGTGTGAGAGAGAGAGAGAGAGATACCTTCCATTTTTAGTGACTATTTGGTGGAGCGATCCTGACGTTGCACTAGATTCAAAGGCAATTGCAAGAATGGAGATAAAGGTGAGGCTTCAAATGAATCATGCATGTCTTGCAATATAAAAGGTATCAGACCCCTACAAAGGGTCACAGCATGACCTGTTGGTAGGACCGTAGGACAACTGTTTCCATGTTTTGAAATCAATGTCTGCTAAGGAAACACAATGCGATGTAGGTGTATATGCAGTTAGGCACATGCATTTAAAGCATGAGATGTTTCAAGGGGACAAGACACTTAAAATTTAACTTACAACAATTGCCCCCCCACTTACTCATCCCAACCACTTACACTGAACAAACAGAAGTAATCCATCAAAATTAAATTCAGGACAATACTTAGAAATTCAGGCACATACTTTTAGGAACTGGATGGAGACACAGAAAATTCAGTTACTGAATTCATTTCTTCCTTGAAATCTCCACCAGGTACTGAGAAATCAATTTTGTCGCTTGCCTAAAGCTCCAACAAAATAATATGAATAATCACAATATAACTCACTCACATATTAGTCAGCAAAGTCCATGTCTAGAGAAACAAATCCCCGGTCAATAAAGTTTCATTCCATTATAGGGAGAAATAGTTTTCATTCAGAAGTATGACAAAATATTATACATTTATCTATATAAAAGCAGCTCATTTAAGTTTGCTACAGACATTTAAAACCTTGTCTGCTCGGACAAAACATTTGACTGTGAGATAAACCTACATTCTCTAGTAATAGAGATTTTCAAAATCAAACTTACATAATGAAAGACTAATAAAACTTTACAAAGTATGTGTTCACTCCAGTAATATGCCACTTCAATAAATGGATACAGCTACTGTGCTCCTTCAAAACGGTGATGTAATTCTGCATTCAGAAGCCATCTCCATCATCCCCCAGATTGGAGAGTGAAAATGAGGCAACTGCCATGCTGAAAGTTGGTGATCCAATTTGGTCAATGTGTTTCATCTCAAACTGAGTTACATTCCTGAATCTCAATGATTCTGGAGAAATCAGAACAACTTGGAAAGCTTCTTAAATAACATAGTTCAAAATTTCAGAAATTACATATGTAGAAATTAGAATGGAATTAATTAGAAAGTGATAAGAATAAGAAGGTCGGGAAGGATCCTAATCCCCAACCAAAGCCTTTCATCAGTTGGCATGACGTATGCCACAAAACGTTTAAAAAGAGTTTAGTAAAATGTTTGCAGACTGGACTATGAAGCAACCTTGACTTAATTTCAATGAGCAAATTGCAAGGAGAGTTCAGGTTGGTGCTGAAAGTAAGATTACATATTTACAGCTATTTTTCTTAACTAAACCAAAACCTTAGAACTTGCCGTTTTTAAAGATATAAACAGACCAGTAATTATTGATATTATGACAGATGAAAAACCTCTGAATTGAAAGGAAACACTGGAAAACAGAGGTTCTTAGTACATAGCAACTTAGCTATAATTAAAATTATTGAGATGTGAAGCATAAAGCTGTGAAAAGTGACATCTAAAAACAATTTTTTTTCCATGATTTTGTTTATTTCTTTAACTTGCATTTTCAATAAGCAGCTTTGCATTATTCACTTTAGACTTGATTTAATCTTATATCATCTTAACTTCGTGTCAATAACCAGTTGTCAACTTGTAAGCCTCTAGTTAGGCTGTTGAAATGAATTTTATGCACTAAACCCATTGATCCTTGAGGAACACAACTTAACCCATTGATCTGTTCCATACAATACAATGGATTTATTATGCTTGAAAATTGGAATTAAATTCAGTTGAATGTGATTCAAACAAGAATTTGTTCCAAAGTACCAGACCAAAAGTTGGTGATACATAGCATGCAAGCAGAAGGAATGAAGAATGTGAAGAAAAGAAAGTAGAAGTCGGAGTGGGATTCGGATTCAAACTCCAATTCTCCCACCCCCCACCCCCAACCCCTCCTGTTGGCATTACCAAACCTTTCCAACGCACACGCAACGCAACAACCATATGCCACTTCCTAGCCGGAATGCTGGATGGGATTCCCATCCCACGCAACAACGCAAGAAGCAGAAGCCGACCCAGCTGGGGAGGTTACCACAACACAAAAGCAGTCAATGGGCCTTTCAAGCATGGCCTCATTACTGTTCGCAAAAAGTAGTCAATGGGCTTTTGGAAATTTACTATTATCTTATGAAATGGAAGGAAAGATCGCATCACACGTTGTCTCGTAATGGCCCTTTGATCACATCCTAATTTCAACTCATTCCTTCCAATAAATGCATCAAATCCCTGTGGCTGTATCAACAACTCTTGCTCGCTTTAAAAGTTAAGTTTCAAACTTTAGTAACTGTCATTTCTAATTTTTTAATTGTAGTAGTTTAGTTTTTTTAAAAAAATTCCTCGTAGCTGTGGTTGAATTAAATATGCTTAAAGCCTAACGACCCCTTGCGTTTGGTACAAAGAAAAAAAATTAAACCCTAATTGCTAAGAAGAATATTAAAGGTGCTAATGGATAAATAATTGTTATTTGTATAAAAAGATTATTTTGCTTTAGTTTTCTCTTAACAATAATATCGAACTAATACTAAAAAATGACCTTATAACTTAGTGATTATTGATTTTGTGTAAAGAATCTCATATTAATAAGGTTCAAATCTCACCTTAATATTCAAAAAAAAAAAAGTGAGTTAATACTCAAAACTTTTACTCTAAAAATATCACAACTGTAAATATTAAAATAATAATAATATTATTAAACTTAACTAACATATTAATTGTCAATGAGTTAAATAATTTAGTAATTATTTTTTTATTAAAAATAAAAAATTTTAAACGTATGACATGAATAAATATAATTAAAATTTAAAAAAAATGTAGAAACTCAAATAAAAAGTTCAATGGAACTCCACCAAGCGCCTGATGGTCACACATTTCATTGAGGTCGGTGAATTATTCACCAAATCTGAAGATCAAATTTTCAGTTACTAATATCTAACAATACTAACTTACTAAACATTATTATTATAAAATAAAAATCAAAAGTTCAATGGTACTTAGTATAAGGGACAAAATATATATATATATATAAAACCAATAAGAGTTGGACTTAAAGTTGGACACTCCTTTACCAACCACCACTGTCAGAACTCAAACCTCACTTCTCTTTGTTCGTGCCATTTCCATAGTCTTTCACTGGGTACTCTTTTCTGAATTTCCGATGCATCACCCACCCACCAATTATGGATATAATTAATTAAAAATAAAATAATAATATAGAAACCGACAAGAAGAAAAAGGAATTACTCAAAAGGTAGCTCTTTAGCTTGTTTCATTTTGTTATTCCAACCACTCAACTTATAGCCAATCAAGTCCCCTTATGTCATATAATCTAGTTCTAGCCAGTGGCCCCTTCCCTGTTGAGATCCAAGTTGAAGGAGCAAGGCCAATAACAGCAATATTTCTGTGAATGATTGCTTTCCCCATTTTATTATTCTATGCGCCTACTGAAAGCTTTACTTAACTAATTTTATTTAATTTATATAAAAGTTGAATGATATAACATGAATTATTTAGTGTGAAAGAACTCATTATTTTATCTAATGGAGTTCACATGTAATTTTAAACCTTAAAAATTAAACAATAAATTGAATTGAGTAAACTAACCTCAAGTTCAACTCTAAAAAGTTCAAAAAAAATTTTTTTTTTTTTTAACAAGTTGTAAAGGGGTGGACTCGAAACCCATCCACGAGAAAAGGGGAATGCACCTCAAGCTGACAGACTGTTAATTGATCCGAAAGGTAAGTGCAAAAAAATTATTCATTTTAAAGTGTAAAAATTTTAAAATTTACATATATTTAAAATATAGATAATTGACTCCATTAACTTAAAATTGACATTAAGAAGTTAGAAGGGATCACAAAGTTGTCATGTCACAAATAGTTTCCATGCATGCAAACCTTTGGTGTTAGTCTCAACTAGACAGTTTGTATGTATCTCACACTTACAGAGATTTAATTGGCTTAAGAAAAAGTTTATAGGCTAAACTGAGAAACAAAACAAGTTCAGGGGCTAATTTCCAAAGAACATATCTGAAGCTTTTCCAAATATAAAATGCTTCCCCCGCCCCCTGGAATATCCACCTCAGGAGATCCTTGTTTTTCTATTTTTTCTTGTAAAGTTTGTGGAACCTGTACCTAAATACATGTATTCAAACTTAAAAAGTATAGTAAATATATTTTTTATAATTGATTTATATAAAAATTATAAAAATTAAATTCTATATAATTTTTATTAATTAATTAATTAATTAAATTTAAATACACTTAACCCTTCGAATGCATGCAATGACAGGTTACATTTAAATGCTTCCTCTCTCCGCACAAGAATTCGATTCTAATCTCTTACAAAATCATTCAAACAAAAAAATTAAATTTAAAGTAATTACAAAAAAAAAAAATACATTTAGTACGACAAACATTATTCAACATATGCGGATTGGACTTTTCTCATCTGTCCCTACACTTTTGCACTTTTGTGGTGCTCTGTTCTTTCTCTGTTTTCCAAATACCACAGCAACCAGCCTCCCACGCCGCCAGACTCTCAAAGCGTCTCTCAACGACTCCAAAATGCAATCTGCGGCGTTCACTCTATCCTCTCCCTCTCTCCCTCTCCCGAAGCCGCGGCCGAACCCTAGGTTCGATCCTATACTCCTTTCCGCTTCAAAGAGAAACGATCTTTCTACCTCCGCCAATGTCGTTTCGGCTCCTTCGTGGCCGAGGCGATCCTGGTCCGCGTGCTCCTCTGCTTCGCCACTCAGGCCGTGGACGTCTGTTTTTTTGCTGGCTTCTGAATCCAAACCAGAGCGTTTTGAGGTCAGAGCCATCTCTGCAGAGAGCGCCGATGAAGGTGAGAAGTCGAGTAGCTTGTCCACGACTTTGGTGCTTGGATGGCTTTTTGCGTTGTGGTTTTTCTTCAATATCTACTTCAACATTTACAACAAACAGGTTTAGCGATATATGCTCTTTTTTTCTTTTCTTTTTAAAAAAATTCTCTCTGTATTTCTTGCTAGGACTAGGAGATTTGTGAAATATGTGACAGTGCATATAATTTGTGTTTAAACCTTAGATCATGAAGATAATTGATTTACTAGTCTAGTACGTAAAAATTTGCTATTTTTTTGGGTCCAATACAAATTGTTTGCAGAAAGAAAGTTGAAACCGCAGAGCTCTTTTTCATTTTACGAAAGTAATTGGATTTCTTTATCAGTTAATAGCCTTATTTTTTAAGCTAATTGAAAGAAGTTCTAGGCAATATTATAAATCATCTTTCTCAAACTTAAAGTATACTATTCGTATTGCAATATTTCATTAGAATTATTTCTCAGGTGTTGTATGCAGTCCAAAGGGATTTGTTAATTTTTAGAATTTGATATGCTGGAGGAATAAATGCTAGTATCTCATACGGCGAGTTGAAAAGAGCTTGATTGATTTTGCTTCTTGTTATCAGGTTCTTAAGGTCTATCCATACCCGGTAACTCTTACTGTTGTTCAGTTTGCTGTTGGGACTGTGCTTGTTATTCTAATGTGGGCTTTCAACCTCTATAAAAGGCCAAAAATCAGTGGTGCACAGGTAATCTTCTTTTTCCTGAAGCTGTTTTGTTGTCTCCTTGACTTTTTTAAATATACTTAACTCCAATTCCAACTGTCCTCTTGGCAGCTCGCTGCAATCATACCACTTGCAGTGGTGCATACGTTGGGCAACCTCTTCACTAATATGAGTCTTGGGAAAGTGGCTGTTTCATTCACTCACACAATTAAAGCTATGGAGCCCTTCTTTTCAGTCATCCTCTCTGCCATGTTTCTTGGAGAGGTACAATTTCTTGCTTTTTACTTATTCTTTTTATCTCATTTTGATCCATTTGCATCTTCAAGATATGATAGCTGTAAGGCTAGAAGGATAAGGGTTGTTTCAATCTGAGCTTTTATTGTTATTACTTATAATATTATTGAAATTTATTTCTCTCATGAGTAGCACTGATTATGCCTGCTCAAAAGTTCTCTAGGTTCAAAAGGCTAGCATATCAGGACTCTGTACTATCCAGTCTTTGTTCCTATATCAGTTAACTGCAATTACTTCATTTTTCTAATGCAGATGCCTACACTGTGGATAGTTGCTTCCCTTCTACCTATTGTTGGTGGAGTGTCACTCGCATCCATGACTGAGGCCTCTTTCAATTGGTAAGAAATCAATTTTGCAAGAGTATGTATTTTTCTGTGTTGAAAAATTTTACAGCATCTGGAGGATTTGATTAGTGCAATATTCTTTTTTGTTTATTTTACAAAAGTTTTTACCAAGACATAATTGAATTGGTTGCTACATTTTATGGAATATAATAATAACATTGTTGCCTTCTTCTCTTAAGGGCTGGTTTTTGGAGTGCAATGGCTTCTAATTTGACAAACCAATCTCGCAATGTCCTTAGCAAAAAAGTCATGGTTAAGAAAGAGGTAATTTGCTTATTGAGATATATGTTCTTTTATTTACTCTGTTATTAATTCTGGTGGACTGGATCTCCTTTATTTTTCTTTCTAATTCATAAACCGGATATTCAATTTGCGCATATTATCCAATATATGTAAATTAACTTTTCATTTGAAAAAAATATATTGTTGCATAACTATAAGTTATTCTGTCACAGGAATCTATGGACAACATTACTCTCTTCTCAATAATAACAATCATGTCCTTTATCTTGTCAGCCCCTGTGGCTCTCTTCATGGAGGGTGTCAAGTTCACTCCTGCATACCTGCAATCTGCTGTGAGTACTTTGAAGAGCTAAAAAATGCTAGAACCCTTTTTAATATAATTTCAGTTTTGCTCAGAAAAATAAAATTGAAGAACTATTATTTTTTCTCCTTTGGTAATTTATTCTGTTTTGCATTTTGCCAAACAGGGCCTGAATGTTAAAGAGGTATGCATAAGGTCTCTTCTTGCAGCACTCTGCTTCCATGCCTATCAACAGGTAATTTTTATGCTTCTGATTTTCTGCTATCTTTAATATGTAAGTTTATCGAGAGCTGTATCAGTAGAGACAATTATTTCACACTAAGAATGGAGTAATTCTCATTTGATGAGATGGTCTTGGCATATTGAGTGTATATATAAATAGATATCAACAAATTGTGGAGAACTGGGGGCTCTGGAAATGCTAAGAATTACTCCCATCAACACATAATTTTGTGGTTTCTTTTGCAGTCATCTGGTCCATGAATGATGATTATACACTAAATAAAATTATAGGGGAAGGGATGTGAAACATGTCAATATTACGAATGATGCCCCTTTTAAATTAAGTGAAATCCATCTGTAGCTCAACTTCACCTGTACTCATGATATCAAAGTAAATTGCTTGATTCTATTTGGTTCAATTTCTGCAGGTTTCTTATATGATACTACAAAGGGTGTCCCCTGTTACCCACTCTGTAGGCAATTGCGTGAAGCGTGTCGTTGTCATTGTCAGCTCTGTTCTCTTCTTCCGTACTCCCGTCTCACCAATTAACTCTCTTGGTAAACTTTTCCACTGATATCCTGCTAAAAAATGTCAAATGTTGATAGAACCCCCTAGTCAGTTTTGTTTCATGATTCCTCCAGTTTTAGAGATCTTATTCTGCCATAACATGCAGGCACTGGTGTTGCTCTTGCTGGAGTTTTCCTGTATTCGAGGGTGAAGCGCATTAAGCCAAAGGCAAAAACAACATAGAAAATTTTTTTGGGTAATTGGAGAAGTTAAGGTGATGAGTTCCATTTTTAGGCATTAAACCGTGTAGAATGGTAGATTACGCCAGGAACTGAACTGGTAACTGGATTTGTACTTTTCCATTTTGTTTCATTCACTTCTTCTTTGCGATGATTGTATTCTTTTTGTGGACCTCCCCATAATGTCATAGGCAGCAAAAATGCTGCTGGAGAACCATTGTCTTTTTCTCTTCCATTGGCTCTGTGTTTTTCTGTTTTCAGACTGTTGGGATTGGGAACGATTCATGTAACTGCCTGTCAAGCATAACCGCGTAAACTTTGGGTTTGGTTTTAAATTTTGCGGTACAAAACCTCGTACCCATGAATAAACGCAGCCCAAATCAAAATTTCTTCCTTTCAGATTGTAACAAGTTCAATCACCTGACGGATTTTGGGATACATAACAATTGCAGTATCATGATGCTTTCTCCTTTCCATTATTCTGTCTCTCATTGAGAAGACCATATAAATCGCCAGTTATTTGCTTGTTTTTCTCTCAACTCTAAATGCTTCCAAGGCTTTCATGATAAAGAAAATATGTCGAGCCAAAGATTTTAATAAAAAAGAAACATATATGGAAGGTACATTGAAAATTCTGACAAACGTCCTATAGTCAGGAGCACAAATAGAAAACACACTGACAAAAACAACACTTTAGTTACATAAACTTGGCACTAGACCTTACCAGAATTACAAGGGTTTTAGCAAGAAGATGGAGCATGGCTGCTTTGTCCAACAGGAGTAGATGGTCCAGGGCTAGGAGTCTGTTTCAATTGGAGTTCCTCTCCAGTGACCTCTGGACTGAGCTCCATCCCCAATTGACTAACACGGGGACTATATGCCCTCCATGCCATCTGTGGGCTAAAAGAAGGTTTCCCATCATCCAGTGAAGGAGTTGAAGTTGTTGCTTCAAGACTTTGCATGTGGCGGATCTCTCCACGGCTTCTTGTAATGAATTCATCAAGAATTTCCCCACCATCAATATTTGTAGTTCTTGCTTCAATGTCTTGATCCTGTCCATTATATAGATCATTTCATGCATATGAACAGAAACCTCAAGAAGCAAGAACCATTTATGTAATTACTTATTCTGGCTTATTTGCACTTTCTATATGCAAGATTATATGTATATATCCAGCCTCATTTTCAAATGGTTCAAGGTAAATAAAATAAGTGAAGGATTCAGGATGGCGTACTTCAAATGTCATCCTGTAAGAAACAACCGGAGTTTCCTCATATTCTGCAGCATCTAGGTCTTGAAGATGAGCTCCTTTGAAAAACTTGGGAAGGAAATACTGCCGGACTGGCACGAGAAGCATGATCAATAGAGGGAAAAGGACCCCAACTAATGGGATCCATGTAATGCCGAAGCAAACGAGCAAGTAAACTGTCTGGAACACGGTAAAGATGGCAATTGTTTTGAAGGGTACAGCCTCAATGAATGTTGCATGACACTCCTCCAAAACCCTGACAGGTTAGACATATATACTGGAAATCAGAAGTCTAGTTCTTCCTAGGATAATATTGATAAAATGAACAGAGAGGTAATAGCTCTATGGAAATGGTAAATATAAGAAAACTTGCAATATTATCAACTTCTCATAAGGTTGACTGAAACACAAATCTATATACTCATGATTTTACCCTACCGCTACAGTCCCAGACAAGCAGATTTGATAATGAAACTGAAAGATATGATAACCATGGTAGAAAGGGACAATAGCTGGCTTTACATATATATACCCTCATCCTCAAGAGGAAAATAACAAACCATAAGCTTACTTGTATCTTCGGCTTGGAGCAGTGAAGAGTAATAATATTCTCTCCCAGAATTGGTTCCCAGGCAAGCTTTCAATGGCCATGAAAGCAAAGTAGCCCCAAAGAACAGAAGTGGGGATCTTCCTAAGCAGAGGCATAGCAGCAACACAACCCCCTACCATTAATGCCTGAAGCAGATTACTGAGACGCTGCTCTTTGACCTCAACAGGCAATAGATCATCAATATCCTTATCTACATCAAAAATGGTTTCATCAACAGGGGCATCAATGTAGCCTGTACTTGACGCCAACTGAATTGTGGATTCTTTCAGTTCTTTCAGTCCCTATTTGAGAAGTAATAGCAGTAAGGGTGGGAAGGCAAGGATAAAATGAGGTTTATATCAAAGACTTCATACAAATTAACTTACCAGAGCTGATGGAATTTGATAGGCAAGTGGAGTCTGCATTTTGTTGTATGCCTCTTGCATGTTTCGATATAATTGACTCAGGTTTGATTTTTTGCTCATGCTTTTTCTGGCTGTTGACACAAGCTTATTACGCAAAAGCTGTTGCAGAGTGAAAGGAAAGCACCGAAAAGTTTAGATATAGAAGCAGAAGTAACATAGGTAATAAGAGATTAATGGCTTTCTCTATGTTAATTTGACTGAAATAATTGGAAGATAAGATATGAAAATGAATTCAACTTGCTTATTAAGTGATTGAAGAGGCCCTACTACTATTACACTGATTGCAATCATATAATTTCAGGAACGTAATGAACATGTTATTACCTGATGTTTCAGGGTTGCCAAGCTTTTTGTATGCATTGGAGATTGCGGAATTACACCATTGGATGGGGGAATCCCAATAAGACCACATCCTATAACCTATTAAAAAACATATGCAGCATTAAGTAAAAACTAAAGAAGGAAAGAATGCTAGATAAAATCAAAGAGAAGCTATTGAGGGAGCAGTTTTAATAAGTTGATCATGTCGAATATTGATGTTCGAGGACAAAAGCTTACCAGAAAACCCAATAGAAAGAGATCATGATGATATGAAGCTGGTTTTTTCAGATTGAACTCTTTCTGTTGGGCAAGTTGAGATGCTACACTGTGATCAAAGTAGTAAAGCACAGCAATCATGGTTGCTGGAATAAATGCTCCAACTATGTAAAGAGGAGGCACATATAACATTTCCTGCATAATTGAGTTTCATTGGAACATTTCTCACAAAAGTTTAGAGGTAATATATCAAAAATTTAGCTGTCATGCAGAGTTCCAATTGAAGTTTATGCTGCATATTTAAGCAAACCATAAGACTCACGTTGACAACTGTCCAATTTGAATATGCACCAGGAGACCATGGATTTGGACTGAAAAGCCGCCTTGGGATCCCTCTTGGAACATCATGGGCAGGGATGTAAGATACTGCAGTCCACAAAAGCACCATAAGTGGCACCCCATAATCTGCTATCAATCCACGAAGCCAACCTATATAAAATCGAAATCAAATGCATTAAGTCAGTAGAAGATTAAGAGAAAAACTCTGTGATAATCAAAATAACTAAAGAAAGAGCTAGGCTTCTAAATCACAATTGCAAGGTTACAGAGTTGATTTCTTGAGTCAAAATTATATAATGCTCAAAATAAGATGGGAATTCATTTCTTTCTAATTAACTCCTTTATATAAGAATTCCAATGCAGTAACCCAGTACCTGTTCCATAGCGCCAGGATCTAGCTTTACGGCTCTTTAGTGCCGTAAAAAGAAGGCCAAAGGACAGAACAAGTGCAAACATTCCATTTCCAAATCTCCAAGAAGGTTCCAACGTAGTTTGGCTAGAATTTTCTCGTTGGGAATTGCTAAACTCCTCCACAACACCCTACCACAAGTTTTTAACTTTATCATATAATATGTATAGGCAAGAAAATTAATAGTTTCAGGAGACTGATCAGCATGGTTGTATGTGTGCATTAGTTCTGGAGAAAGATGTAAATTCAGATGTTAGTAATTTGAAGATTAATAATCACCCGAATAGCTTGCTGCATGAATAGCATTGCAATCAGTAGACCGAACAATTCACCAGCAAGTCGAGTAAATCGGTTAATGATAGAGCATGCCCCTAGAATTGCCAATAAGAAGAGCAAAAGGGCAGTCCAAACACAAACCCTGAAAATAGATGCCAATAAAGTAAACCATATGATATGAGTGCCACTAAAAGGGTGAATCTGGCTTTGTAATTAATTAAGTAGTACAAGGGGTATTTGAAAAATTAATACCATCCCATCCAGGCCAAGAAGAGTTTCTGCCCTAAATCCTTTCGGTATTTTGCAAAGTCGAACATAAATGTATACATCAATACAGTAGGCTCGGCAACTCCAAGAATCAGAAGGGGCTGTCCTCCAAGAATAGAGTGGAAGATGCCACAGAGTGCTGTTGACGCGAGAGTTTGCACTGCGGTCAAGGTTCCACCTGTACCAATAATTCAATAAACAGAAGAGATTGTTTTAGCAAAAAAGGGGAGGACACGTACACTTATATCATTACTAGTTTGTTCTCAATGATTAAGAGCTTAAATTTGTATATTAGAATTTCAAGTTCAAATTTTAAGATGGACGAAAAAGGTTTTGGAAAGGGGAAGACTACCATGTTATATACCCCATCATCGACCGTAACACAATATATAAATATATATATAAATATATATATCGTTATTGATTCTACCTGTATTTCTTTCCAGCTGCTCTCCGAAAGATATAACTGGAATTGCGGAAGCAAAGAATATATATGTTGTTGGAGCAAGGATCCTAAAAAATGGAAATTGTTGACATAATTTTGTAAAGCAGTAACTTTGACATTTGTGTTGGTAAAATGAATGATTGATGTTCACAAATTTTGAAATAGCTATGCAGATCACAGTTACTTTTATGGGATAACACACTGTATGTATATTTCGTACATGAGCATATTAAAGTAATTAACAAACCTGACACCTGCTCGGAAACCACCTATCCAGTCTTGCTTGTAGCATAAAAGCCTTCCTTTAAGATCATTCTTGATTCCACGGAATGGAACAAATGTTTCTTCCATGGTAAGCCTGAAATTGTGCAAACAAAAGGGAAACCTCTATATTTGGATTACAACAGATCACATCATGCATAATGCATTCCCGCTAACTTTTAAGAGAGTGAGTTTACAATAGGAAAAGGCTTCAATAAGTAAATAGAGAGGCCTGATGGTAAATGGGAATGGTTTATGGGTTATTGAATGCAATAGAAGAGAAAAGGGGAAGGAATATATAAGAAAGAAGATTGAGATGTAACCATAAATAGGTTGCAAAGTAGAGGATGTTGGGGTGTATCAATGAGCAAAGAAAGAGAAAGAAATGTGTGAGATTCTAGAAATCAGAAGCTTTTTTTTTTTACCTTTTTTGGGTGTGAAGAAGATGGTGTGTGGTGACTAAGCATTCATAATGCTATTTTGGGTGTACCATATATTAAACAAAACGAATCACGGAAGAAGCAATGGAAGTGGACTAACAATTAAAAAATAATAAAATTACAACAATTATTTCAATTCTGAAAAATCGGGGGAATTCTGCCTCTCATACATTTCTACCACATGCTTATTTTATTTTATCTTTCTTGGTTGGGAATCAAACTGGATTTTTTTCACTTTAAAAAAGTTGAGTTCTGTTCTGATTTCTTCCGAGTAATAGAAACTTTGCACTATGAGATCCATAGAGGAGAGGAGGATAAGAAAGGCAAAAAGTATAGGTTAAATGTCAATTTTGGTCTTTTAACTTAAAGTTTTGTATAATTTTCATTTCTCAACTTTTTTTAATGCTTTTTTAGTCCTCTAATTATAAAAAATGCACTTTTTAAATTTTTTTTGTCAGTTAATCCATTAAATCTATCTGAATTTGCATATTTTTAATCATTCAATTTCTAAATATGCATATTTTTAAGTTGAAGGACTAAAAATGTGCAAATTTAGATAGATTTAACGGATTAACTGATGAAAGATTAAAAAAATATATTTTTCATAGTTAAGAGATAAGAAAAGATTAACAAAAATTGAGGGATGAAAATTATATAAAATTTTAAAGTTGAGAGACTAAAATTAGCATTTAACCAAAAGTAAGTACCGGAAGAGATCAAGTTAATTGAGCAACTCCTTCCCTTTAGCCTCTAACCAGAAAAGTAGGACCTGCATTAATTAATACATCAAAACAAGAGTCCAAAGCAGGACCTGAATCAACACACAAGTTCTTAATTCCTGGGAAGAATATCAGGTAAATCTGATTAAGTTGAGAATATCAGGTAAAATTTGGAGGCATATACATCCAATTCCAATGTATGGGGCACAGGACACTCAACCATTCAATGTTGTGCATAAAAATACAACACCTTTTTTTCCTCTGGCTCTGAATAGTATATATATATATTTATATATTTATACCTCAAAAGGTTATCCTTATAGTTTTTTGTATTCTTAAAAGTTTCCACAGCTCTATGAAAAAAAAAGTTTCTATATCTCTATATATACAGAAAGTATCATACCCCATATAAACTATTATGTAGTTTGGTACACCGATGAGTTTTGGTTGTCTTAGCTTTGAATATTAATTCTAGCTAGGCTAGATCATATAGATATATATTAGAAAAAAAGATTTATTTATACATAAATTTTATATATTATATTTATACAAAATTTTAATTATTAACTATTGAAATTTATTTATTTTTATTTTATTTATTAAAAATAATTATATTTTTATATGAAGAATCATGAAAAATCTTAACTATTAAAAGTAGAAAAATCAATAATTAATATTTTATGTAAACGTAATATAAAATTAATGTATAAATAAATCTTTATTTTGTATACTATATATATGCACTACACTTACCAAAAATTAAGGGAAAACTTTGGAATGTCCTGAGTCTGTTCTTTCTTTTTCAGGATTGCATATGCAATTAATTAAATTCAGAATCAAATGAATGAACTTTTGTTAAGGTCATATTGGTTTAATTGGAGACCTAATAATTTCCCCAAATAATTCAGCAAAACATCACTGCTCGTGGAGATAGATTATCTATTCTGTCATTTTCCTGGAGAAATTAATTATGTTTGGTTTTAAATGACGTAAAGAGTATATGAGTAATTAAAATTAAAATCTGGACCAACCCTTTTTTTTTATTATTACCTTAAAAGCATAAAATAAAAAGCAGGAGGGGGAGCACAGTTTGGGTATTAAAATTATTAAAATATTATTAATGAATAAATATAGAGATAGTTTTATTAAGTTTTTCTTTTAATTTTTTTTATAATTTTAGTACTCAAATTGCATTTCTTTGTGCAATATGTGAACTGAAAATGCATTATTGATATAAAATATAAAAATAAAAAATTATTATACAATCTGAATTATATTAAATTGTATAATATTAATTATTAAAAAAATTAAGTTATTTAATATTAAGAACTCTCTTCATACTCAATAATTTTTATTTTATAAGTATGAATGATGATACGAAATTCTCATATATAAAAATATATCTTTGTGTTCCAAAAAAGAAAAGAAAAAAAAGAAAAAGAAAAGATGATGGAGAAAGAAGTAACTACGCGTGGACAAATAAAATTGGGGCAAAATATATACCTAATATGCTTGGATCATGGATTGCGATTTGGATTATGGTTAGTCTATTATAACCTATAGGTTTGGTTGAGCACCAAAAAATATACGTTTTACCTAACACACAAATGCCCCGAGAAAAAGGTGACAAAGACAATTGCCCATCTCTCCGCCAGTAGTCCATTTTGGTTGGTTTTTTTTTTTTTTTTTAAATGGTTTTATAAGAAGGGATAATATTTTTATTTTTTAAAATATTTTTTTAATCTAATATTAAGTTTAAATATGAAATTTTTAACTTTAAAACTTATTTTTAATTAGTTAAACTATTATTATGGAAGGTGTTGGTTATGATTTTGTGCTCAAAATAACTACGTTACTCAAGATAATTAAAGAAGAAAAATTACACACAGCGATATTAAATTGGTAAAATGGACAACATATATCACCTAATAATTCATGCA